TTAATACTTTTCAAATATATTTATATAATACATTTTATTAAATTATTTCGAATTATTCAGATTTAATTTAATTATAATCGATTTAAATCGAAAAGTGCAATATTTCCGTCTTCTTATAATTAAAATTTTGTTATTCATATTACTGCTTACATCAGTTTATAGCGCATAGTTGCGATTTGTTGCGAATTATTGCGATTTAATTAGTGTAATATTGCGTAATTTATTATGTATGTATTTCGTAATATTCTGTAATTGATAATTGCGTAAGATTTCACGTCGTTGCGAAATTCTTGTACAAGATTTCGGTCCGTAATAACTTACGTAAGATTACGTTTATATATTTTGCTGATGTAGTAGAAACATTATTTCTATTGATCCTATTCGTCGAGCATGAATATATTCACGATAGTGTATTTGTTCATACACGTTGAATAGATGTGTAGATCTGACTTGCTTATATATTTTGTTATATATCTAGCAAGTCCTTTATTAGTTACATATTGAATATTTATATGAGCGTTCCATATCATTAATGTAGGAGCATGATATGGAACTATCCACTAATTTTTCGGTTTTAGGCATCTGTAAGTATATCTATAGTTACTCAGGTCATAAAATATATATTCAGAAATAGAACGAGGAAATCCTTTTTTGCATATTGATCCTGGTGGGGCTAGACCTTTGCATTTATAATTGCATGTATGTATTTGAAAGGTACAGACTTTTTGGCAAAGTTCTGGTTCTAGATTAGGGTCGGGAAGGGTTGATCGAATGACATTCGAATTAATCATTTCTAATATATCTGATGTTGTCCAGTAAACACCATGTAGATGCGCTGCTTCACGGTTTTGAAATTCGATTCTGTCAAAGAAGTTTGAGTAGGTTCTCCATTCACTAATATTTGAATCTTTCCAACCGTTTTTTTTGATGTTTTGTAGTCTGTGAATAAAATGTAATGGTCTGTTGGTTGGCAACAGGTCATTATTATCTGTGTTAATGAGTATGTTGCAAAGATGAGTCCATGAACCTTCGGCCATTGTTAATGTGATAAATATTGTTGAGAGGCCGAGTTCGCGGATCATTGTATTCAAATACATATTTTTTTTTTGAAAGTAACCATCACCTGTACATATGAATGTGGGTATGGGTGAGGTTTTTGTTTCGTTGTAGCACCAACCGTTAGTATAGATACTACATTCGATTATCTCAATAGCCGTTGGTGTACAGTTATCAGTGGCAGATTGTCTGATAAGTCGTTGAGTATTTTGGAAATTTCTAAGTTTTTCCAGTTGTAGATAAGCCTATAAAGGCCAGTAGTAATGTAGTCGAAATTGAGGATCTTCAGAAAGTAAACGATGTTTTATATATTTTCCGAGTGTGTTGTGGTGTCTTTGTAAATTTTCTAATTGGTTTCTCATATCATGATAATGGCCATAACCATTAGGGTATAGGTCTAGGAAGAGTAGCGGTTCGAGATGTGGATCATTTAGAATTTTGTTTATATTATTGTTGGCCACAAATTCAGCTATCAAGTGATGGTAGTTTGCATCTTTGTTGTGGATTTCGATAGAAAAGTTTCGATGGGGGACCACTATTTCACCATGTCGAAATGGAGGTGTGCTTTCATTGACAGATAAATAGACTGCCACAGGAAATTGGAGGTTTAAATTTGATGTTTGTGGAATCATTGACGAGTACTGGCATATGTATAGGTTGTTTTCTTTGAGCCAATTAGTAGTATTAATTAGGGAATTTTCAAACCAGGGAGGAAGTGGAGGTTGAATAGAAGTTGAATCGGTAAGGTAAGTGCCTAATAAGCCCGAATATATATTTAGGGAATTTAAGTTTTGTGAGTAATTCATAGTACCCACTAATGTTCTATACTCGGAGAAGGGATTAGCTCTAGGTGTTCTACCTAGAGAGCAATGGAGAAAGATAAGAGATAAGTGTTTGCGTAATTTTAATGGTACTGATTCAATTTTGGGTGGGATTGGATATAGGTATAGTGGATAATTGCGTGTCGGGTTTGATTTGCATGAGCAACATATTGCGATACGGTTTGTAGATGGGATCAGGGTTGTGATTAGTGATCTATAATTTTCAAGTAGATATATAGTATTGGGATCTTTATGAATCCATATTGATTTTTTTGGATACATGAGTCTTGAGCAAATAGAACAGGGAACACATGAAAATTGAGATAAAATAGTATTTTCGAATTTTTCTATTAGTTTTTGTATTTTTTCTGAAATTATCCACAGAGATATTTCTGGAGGAGATTGATTGTTGAATTGGATATCGCTTCGGTTAGAGTATTGTGGTTGCAAGTTATTATTGAAAGAAGTTAGATCAATTATTTCTTCGTTGAATTCTAAGGGTTCGATCTCAAGAATTCTATGTACGTGGAATGATATATTTATATTTATTTTATTAAAGGTATTTGGTTTTTTAAAAGTATTTGTTTTATTTGAATTATAGTTGGGAATTTAGTGGTATTTATAATTTGAAGCGGTTTAGTAGTTTTAATAAATAATATTATTAATTGTATTTACAAGTATTGAGAAGTCAAATATTATTTTTGTATTGTTGAGTGTATACAGGTAAGATGTGCAAATATTTATTTATTAAGTATATATGTAATTTATATTTTAAATATATTTCCAAATAAGTTTAATAAACAATGGTTATTAATAAGTATCTGTACGATTGTCGGTATTGATGTATTGTTGTGTTATAGAAAGAGTTAGTTGTAAAATTTTAAGTGTAATTTTAAATAATTTGATTTGAATTTGTTTATTAAGCAACAACAATCACATTTATTTATTCATTGTATTTAGTTTGGTTAGAGATATGAAAAATCACCGGTACAACAGGCTTCTAAGGTGTTTTTATTATTTTTATTATTAAAATGGTTATTAAATATACAGTAAAAAGTTAGGCATCATAATCGGTATAATCAATATAATTTGATATTTTAATTTTCGATAATATAAATTTGATTAGAGTGAGAGTTGATTTGACCTGGAGGTTAATAAATGATCATTGAAAATAATAAGTTATTTAAATAGTTTTATTGTTTAAAATAAGATATCACCGGATTATGAATCGGGATAAGTAATAATTAGTAAATTGATATCATTACATGAAAGTGGCTTTTTTTTTCACAAATAAATAAATAATTGTTTAGCAGTATAACTTTAAATATTAATTAGTTGACAGTTAATAAATAATTATTTTTACGATTTGTGTTATAATTTTAGATATATCGATATAACATTTTATTCGTTATTTATATAAATTTAAATACGTAATAATAGATAAAAAGGTAAATATATATTGAGTGAATTTATGAATATATATATAATAACATGTTAAGAAAAAATTGACATGTAATATTTGTACGTAGTACTTAAAGTAACGTGAAAGAGTATTAATTTATGGAAAAAAAATAAATAATAAGATGAATGATTTTGAATTGAGCATATATTTAAGAATAATAATGTAAATAACAATGTATATACTTATCTATTCAGTAATAGTTTGATTGGATGTACTTTGATCTGAAGATTTGTTCAGAAGATCATTTGCCAAATCGGTAACTTTTGGACGAGAGTTGGTTTTGAGATACGGTTTAGAGATAGGTGTAGTTTTCTTGCAATGGGTGCTTCCTTTGACCCTGCATCAGGAAGTTCAAAAAGGTGTTAAATAACTAACAAAAAAGTGTTAACCTATATAGGGTTTGTTAAACTACACTTTTTATTAATAAAATTAGTATTAAATAACACTTTATATATTAAACAACATTAGTTATTTAACTGTGTATCATGTCAACAAACATGATATGCAGTTAAATAACTAATGTTGTTTAATGTATAAAGTATTATTTAATACTAATTTTATTAATAAAAAGTGTAATTTAACAAACCCTATATAGGTTAACACTTTTTTGTTAGTTATTTAACACCTTTTTGAACTTCTTAATGTGTTGCTATAGTTTAAGCGATAGTGGGGGCATTCTGTTGATTCGTATTATTTTGGTCCTTCGATTTCTACGAAAATTGCACCAGGTTGTTTTTTGTAATTGCATTTAATCTCTGATACTCTGGAAACGAAACATTTCATATATGAACTATGTTATCATCATCGGTTATCATTAGTTCACCATTAATATATACTACAGAATCTTTTTTTATAACTGCGATTGTATTCATTAAATATTGTGCAGAAGTGGAATAATAGCATGTTAATTTAAGATTGACATAATCTTGGTCCACATAGTTCTTGGTTAAAACATTCATGACTACATCTTCATTATCGATTTCCAGGTCTTCTTGAACTAATGCTGTCATGTTGATTAATATTGGAAACACAGGTAAATTGTCAAGGTCAAGGATATTAAAACGAACTACATCGTTTAAGGTAATCTTTTGTTAAAAGGAAGAAAAAAAAAAAAATTGACCTGAACCGTTGTCAATAGAAATCAGGCAGATTACATTTTAGAAAAAACCAACACTTCAACTTCTGTAGTTCATGTTTTGATGAATTCGAATCCAATTTGATGATTCAATATTTAAAATTAAGCTTAATTCTTAAGCTTTTTTTTTGAATACAGAATTATCAAATTAGATTCAAATTCATCAAGACATGAACTACGGAAGTTGTAGTATTGGTTTTTTTTGAAATTTAATCTGTTTGATTTTCACTGATTATTGATTGATTGAATTTTTTTAGGGTTATAATGAAAGTAAGTTATACTTTTAAAATGGAATATTTTTCGTCATTTTGGCCGGTGTATTCAATGATACAAAAATTTCCAGTAGCGAGCACTACATCCTTGTCCTCAAATTCAGGTAAATTTAATTCTTGAACAGTATCATGGTGGTAAAATCCAGTTAAAATCACATTTAGAGAAGAGTCTAGGCTTCGGGATCTTACAACACCCGAAGCTTCAACAATCGAAAAATTTTTATTAGGAATTAATTTTTTTTGATAAGTCGTCATATAACATAATATGGTAATGGAGACTGGCATTTTTTTATTTTTTAAATTTTTTATTAATAATTATTAATAAACAATTGTTAATCGTTGATCGATTGTTGTTGTTTGTTTTTGAAAAAATTGAAAAAAAAATAAATGAGAAAAAACACGACTATTTATTGATTGATTTTAGAAGACATCATTTTTTTCATTTCATATGATTTTTATTTTTAAATAATAAGGTAATGGTATGAGAATATTATATAAATTTTTTTTATTTTATTTAATTATAAATAAATATATATTCAATTGTTTAATAATCAGAAAGTTTTTTTTCAAAACATGTTTGGTCTATTCAAAGAATTCAAGATAATGAGTATTTTAACTATATTCATATGTGTTATCTTAAGCTTAATTTTTTTCATGTTATGAAAAAAATTAGCTAATGTATGGGTTGCTGTCAATAGAAATCAAGCGGATCGACGTCTTAAAAAAAAGTTATTACCTTAGCTTTTACAGCTCATATTTTGGTAAATTTTTAAATTAGCTCTTTCTTTTTTAATATCAGTTTATTATTAAGTTGGTCTTGAAATTGATTGATATGAACTGTGAAAGCTAAGATATTAGCTTTTTTTTTTTAAGGTATCAATTCTCTTGATTTTTTTTGTTTATTATTTACAGGAAAAAAAAAAAAAAATCATTTTTTTTTTAAGACGTTGATCTGCTTGATTTTTATTGAAGACAATCCACATTATACGGCATTAAGATGTTTATTATTTATTACAGGAAAAGAATCATTTTTTTTTAAGACAAACTTTAAAAGGTTATAATCTTTTTAAAATGACTATTAAAATAGTCACAAGGCCAAGATCGATAGTTTATCTAATTTATTTAATTAATTAAATTTATATACCAAATTTAGATATTGATTGGATCATTATGGAATGTATACTCAATTACAAACATAGTGGAGATGTAATTAGTAGTAACGTGAATAGTAATAACACAGGTTCTCTTATGTCAAGAAAATCCTGAGCTGAAAATCACTGTAGATCCTTTCTGATCTGATTCCGGAGCCCAAATATTAACCAATCAGAATCAATTAAATTGAAAATCCTTTTGAAAATTTTGAATTTTTTTAAACTTCTAGCGAAGATTTCTTAG